TTAATGCAAGACTTAAATGTATGTGTTGAAAAATAAAAATTAGGTATTGTAGTATTTTTAAAAATTTCATACTATGGTTAAAAGGATGATAAAGATGCCTTTAAAGTATATTTAAACTGATAATGGTGAGAAATACACATCCAAAAACTTTGAAAAGTATTGTTCAAAGTATGGGATCAAATATGAAATGACAGAACCTGAAACACCATAGCATAATGGTATAGCTAAAAGGATAAACTACATCATTATAGAAAAAGTCAAATATATGTTAAGAATAACAAAATTACCAAAGTCATTTTGGGGTGAAACAACCAATACAACTTATTATTTTCTTAACAGATCACCATCAGTTCCTTTGGGCTTTGATATTTTAAAAAAATATATGGATAGGAAAAAATGCTTCATGCTCTTACTTAAAAGTTTTTAGATGTAAAACATTTATACATGTGCTAAAAAAATAGAGGTCAAAGTTTGACAATAAAAACACGTAGTGTGTGTTTGTAAGATATGGTGATAAAAAATTTAGCTACAAAGTATGGATCCAATGAAGATAAAGATAGTCAAAAGTAAAGATGTGATCTCTCATAAAAGAAATTATAGTAGATCTTGAGAAAAATAAAAAGACTACTCAGGTTATTGTTGAATGTGATGTTTTAACATCAACAAGGGTTCCACAAAAAAAGCCACAAAAAAAGACTACTCAAGTTATTGCTGAAATGATTAATGTGATTACTAAATGAAGCTTAACCTCGGCTAAAAGAAAGTCCAACCTAACTATGATCATGGCTATTGGCTTTTCAACAAAGAAAGAAAAAAATTGGAAAAATGAACCGATCTCATTTAACTTGAAAGATTTGGAAAGAATCCAACTTTCCCACAATGATGCTGTAGTAATCACGGTTGTAGTATATAATTATGTGGCTAAAAGGATCATGTTCGATAATGAGAGTTCCACCGACGTCATGTACTATGCCACCATAAAGAAATGGGTATTAAAGAGGATTAGTTGCAATTGATCACCATAACCCTAGTAAGATTTGGGAATGAGCAAGTACCAACAAAAAGGACTATAAAACTACCAATCACTTTAGGGAGGGAATCGAAAAATAGTCACCTTGGTCATAGAATTCATGGTAGTAGAGTCTCATCTATCTATTAAGTTATCCAAACATTGGAAAATGAAGAAATGGACTTTAGAAATTATTTTCATGCTTACCAAATAGAGTGTATTTTATCTTTTGGCGTTCCATGGGTAATGAAATTCTTTGTTTGCAAAATGGGCATTCAACGAAAGGGATGAAGAGCTATATTCGAACTTTAAGAGGATTGGTAATGAAATTGTGAAAAAATGCATGTTAAAGTGAGTTATTCCACGTTTAATAAATTTTTAATATCTTGTAATCTTATATTCATGTTGGGCTTTTTTACTTACTACCAATTAGTAGTAGATTGGATGCTTAACATTGTTTCAAAGCCAAGATTTTCTTTTCGTTGTTCATTTCTAATTTGTCATGTGAAAGGCTTCTTCCATCTTCACCTACACGTGATGAAGCCTTATTAAAGTGGATTATCCCACGTCTAATGAATATCAAATATCCTGTAGTGTTATATTCAAGTTGGGTCCTTTTACTTATAATCAATTAGTTTTAAGTTAGATGTGTAACATTTTCAAAGGATACTGAATATGACATTGATTATATTATCCATTTCTTGATGGCCAATGGACTTCTTGAAATTCCCAAGCAAAGTGAAGGCGAATGCATGGAAGATGTTGGGTTACAGTATTTCAAGGACTTATTGTCAAGGTGTTTTGTCCAAGATAGAAACTAATTTTATATCTTCAAAATGCATGATCTTATACACGATCTCGCATTAAATGCTTCACAAGAAGAGTGCTTAACAGTATATCAACATGTGGTAAATGCTTCTGAAAATATTCGGCATTTGTCATTTTCTGATCAAAATATTCCATTGAGAACTCCACAACTTTTTTTGAAGAAGTTGAATGGTGTGCGCCCATTAGTAATCCTCCTCCTCGAGGATACTATAGGATGGTTGAGAAATCATTTCTGAGTGCTTGCATCTTCAATTTTAAGTACCAACGGCTACTTGATCTGGAAAATTCCTGGTTGGAGGTATTACCAAAATCCATCTGCACCTTGAAGCATTTACTGTATCTTAACTTAACTAGGTGCATTAGATTGACTAGGCTTCCTAAGTCTATCTGCTGACATTGAGATTATTTGATGTTCCAAAATTGCAAGTGCGTGACAATTTGCAAAGATTGATCAGTCTCAGATTGCAAAGTTGGAGTTCGCTTCAGTTCTTATTCTTCTACGAGTGTAAGACACTGGAATGTTTGTTTGAAGGGATGCAATGCCTCACATCACTTAGAAATTTGACTATGAAGAAATGATATAGACTTGTCTTACTACCTCGAAGTCTGAAGTTCCTAGTCAAATTAGAGGAAATTGCAATTGTTTCCTGCCCAATGATCAATTTACGCACGGAACCGGAAGGCAGAGAAGACCAAGACCTTCACTTGAGCCTTCAGAAGTTGATATTACGTGATGCACCAAACTTGGAGGATCTGCCTGGATTGCTTCTTGAGGGATCTGTTGGCTGTTTGCAATCCATTGAAATCCAGCATTGCCCCAACTTTGAGATGCTACCAGAATGGCTAAAAAATCTTAGTTCACTTCAAAGACTGGAGATTCTTAATTGTCCCAAATTTTCCTATCTTCCCGATGGAATAGACCATCTCACTGCACTTAGACAACTGAAGTTTCAACAATGTCCTACATTGTGTGAAAACTGCCAACCGGAAGCTGGCGCAGATTGGTCCAAGATATCACACATCCGCAATGTTCATATTGAAGACCAAAAGATTATCAAGTCACGTTGGAGGGTATTTATTTATTGAGCAATCTAATCTATCACTGTTCGATGTACTTCTTTATAATTCTGAAATACTATTTCTTTTTCTTTTCTCCTTTTCTGATCTCTCAGGGAAAAACTTAAAAAAAAAAAAGAGGAAATTTCTGTTTTATGAATTTTTTATATTTTAGATTTGAAATTAAACACTTCAAAATTGCTGCTGAAAAAAATTCCCAAACTGAGATGGAGAATTAATTATGGATGGTCTTATTATATAGTACTACTATATGTTCTTATGCATGACATTTTCGTTTGCATTTCCTTTTAATTTCTAGAATTCAGATTAACTGTCCTCTAATTTCCAGTCAAAAATAAAAAAAAATAATCATATAATTTGCTCAATGTATACAACCTTTGCAAATTTTAGTAATCTGTATTTTTTAAGTCACAGGTAAATTATGAACTGGATACTTTGATGAAAATAAAGGAGTAGCAGGTGAGACTTCAATCCATCCATAGCATTCTACTATAATTAAAGTTCATCAGCAAGATTTTATGAAAATTTCAATTCTTATACATTATATGTCAGACTTCTACGAATTGAGATTTATATATATATATATATACATTCTTATACTAAATCAAATATACACATCTTTATGTATGCACGTATGTATTTTTTATGCAAAATTAAATAGATTTTATTAGAACGAAAAGTTTACAAAATGTATGTATGTATGTATGTATATATGTATGTATATATGTATTTGGTACATTGGAGCAGACTAAGTCGGAAAAATTACACAAGATGTTAGTCGGCAAAATTACACAAGATGTTTCGTTATATATTAAACCTATAGGAATTGCATTTTAGCTGTATTTTTAATTCATTTAGTTTTAACCAATGCATGCAGCTCTCAAGATGGAAAATTCAGGGAAGGCGTGTTGGGTATGGAAGGCTGGCAGTAAGCATTTTACTTTGTTTGATTTACAGTCTTTTTGCTGTTGTTAAGATGCCTTCAATTAAGGACTTTATGGAATATTATTGTTGTAATAAATGAATGTGATTTTAATTTGTATCAGATGTAATGTAATTAACAGTGCTATTCTGTAAGATTTTGTTGTGATATTATGTACCAGACATACTTAATTATGTGTTTGTTGTGTTATGACTAGTTTGTTTTAAATTGCTCTTAGTTTATCTGTATCCCACTGTGGGCTTTTTCTTGGTTTGCTTCAGATATCAAGTCTCTTGGTTTGATGTAACATTTGTTGCCTTGATGTTGCGTATTGATTGTAGTTCATGCTTGTAACATTGTTTGACCCCATGTACCTAGAATATGTATTTGTTTGCGTAATCTACTTCAGCCATTCATTTCAGTGTTCTATATTCAGTTATTGTTTCATCGGGGTGAATGATATTATCTCATTTAGAAAGCACTGGTTCTAAGCAAAATCAGAACTTTACTTGGAGGTTGTTGCATAACAGTTTTTTTTTTTTGAAATTTTTCGACCGTTCGATAATAATTTTGAATCTCGATTAATTCAGAATCAAATTGAATCAAATCTCGTAAGTTCTTTCGAAATTATTTTTTTATTTACAAAACTCAAAAACTAAAATTTTACTTAAAGTTAACCATCCGTGCTGCATAACAGTTTAACTATAACAATCAATGCACCCCTAAGTCGTGTGCAAAGTCTTATAAAAGGTCACTTTTACTTGTTTTACACGACAGGGGAACGTGTGAAATAAAATAGATATTTATTTGAAAAATTTATCAATTATCAGTAAATTGAATAATTTGTTGCATCAAAGTGAAACTCTATGAGGTATTCATACAACACGATACTAATGATGATAAAAACATTTTTATATATTCTTTCTTCTCTCAATTTATTTGTTTTAAAAAATTCTAATTTTTGTATTTAATATTATAATTTTAATTTTTATAATATTGAAGTATCATATTTTTATTGTCAAAAAATAAATTTTAAGTATAAAGATAAAATAAAAGGTATTCAGAAATTTTGAAAAATATATATTTTGAAATGACTCAAAAATGAAAAAAAAATGGAAGAAATATTACCTATGTAAAAATATTCAATGTAAATAAGACCCAAAATAAAAATTTACATTATACCCATATTAAATAATTGAATTAAGTTTAAGACCACACTTAAAAATTCTTAATTGCAATAAAATTAAGTTCATTACCCATATTATTTCCACCAGGTGATGCTTAAATCTAAATATGAAATCCATCAGTTGTTTAGTTTTCTATCAGTTCGGCTTTAAAAAAATTTTCAAGTAAAATGCATTTCGTTTCGTGTCCGTCGATACACTCACTGATTTTTTTTTTTTTTTTGCGTGTCCGTGGGTGTCCCTCGTGTTACGATAGGGTGGATGCCGTGATTCCTGGAAAGCATCCATTTTTCATTGTGCAAACATTGAAAGCCTTTTTTTTTTTTTTGTTCTTTTGGTGGTGATGTAGCTGATCATCAACCAAACCACAAGTATAAAAGTACTGATGGCTGCTAAAATAAAATATTTACTCTAAACACACTTGTTTAATTTCCCGGAAACAAACTTCAATATAAATACTATACTCAATTGTCATTTACCTTTGATTACCTTTCCAGAGTTTAATTATGGCGGAATCATTTCTGGCCATCGTTGCAGAACAGATTTAGGAAAAGATAGTATCCCTGGCTGCCAAAGAAACTATTTCGCTTTGGAATGTCAGTAGTGATTTGAGAAGGCTTAAGGAAACCATGACCTACATAATGCTGTGCTGTTAGATGCTGAAAAACGGTAGCACCAGAACGAGACGTTACGCCTTAGTTTGGGGAAGCTTAGAGACGTCTTATATGATGCTGAGGATGTGCTTGATGAATTCACGTGTGAAGTGCTGCGAAAGGAGTTGATCAATCGTGGAAGCGCCACCAACAAATTGGTACGATTACCTACTCTCTCTATTCCATTTGCATTCCCTTTGAGGATGAGTCATAAAATCAAAAAGATCAATGAAAAGCTAGATGCGATGGCTAGTGATTTCAAAAAATTTAATCTTGGACTTGAAGAGAAAGTTGAGAACCGGCGTGTTATTCTCAGGGATACCCACTGCTTTGTGATACCTTCTAATGTGATAGGTCGCAATCGAGACAAAGAAAACATCATAAATCTTTTGGTCAAGCCAATCGATACTGAAAATATACCCGTCATCCCTATAGTTGGAATCGGAGGTTTAGGGAAGACCACGCTTGCTCAACTTGTGTACAACGATGAAAGGATCACTAGGGTCTTTCCCTTGAAAATATGGTTGTGTGTGTCAGATGAGTTTGATCTTGCTAGGTTGCTTTGTGATGTTATTTACTCCATTACGGGAGAAAGATGTGATGGTTTACCAGTTAATGCATTGCAAACTCATTTGCGAATGCTTTTAAATGGTAAAACTTTTTTACTCATTTTAGATGATGTATGGAACGAAAATCATGTAAAATGGATGGAACTGAGAGATTTACTGATGACAATGGGTAAATTTCAACAAAGTAAAATCATTGTGACTACACGGAGTTCAAAAGTTGCTTCGATAGTGGGTACTATTGCTCCGTACAACTTGAAAGGTCTTAGTCACAAAGATTGTCTATCTTTGTTTGTAAAATGGGCATTTAGGGAAGGAGATGAGAAAGTATATCCAAACCTTATGAGAATTGGTGATGAAATTGTGAAAAAATGCAAAGGGGTTCCATTGGCGGTGAAAACTTTAGGGAGCTTGCTCTACTGAAAACTGAGCGACATGAATGGGAATTTATAAAAGATAACGACATATGGAAACTTGATCAAAATGAAAATGACATTCTACCTATGCTGAAATTGAGTTATAATCATTTGCCATCTCATTTGCAAAGGTGCCTAACTCGTTTGTCATTGTTTCCAAAGGATACTATTTATGATACTGATTATATCGTCCAATTCTGGATGGCCATTGGACTTACTGAAAGCCCCAAGCAAAACGAAGAGTGGGAAGTTGTTGGGTTACGATATTTCAAAGAATTATGGTCGAGGGGTTTTGTCCAAGATGTCGAGGTTGAATATACATATTACACATTTAAAATCCATGACCTAATACATGATCTCTTGTCAAATGTGCCTTAAGATGACTTTTTAACAATTTATCCTCATACAATAAATGCTGCTGATCATATTCGACATCTGTCATTTTCGGGTGATAATCCGTTAAGAGCTCCACAGTCATTTTTGAAGAATTTAAAAGGTGTGCGGACATTGGTGATCCTACCTTCTTCAGGAAGAAATAGGATAATTGAGGAACATTTTGTAAACGCTTCCATCTTGAATTTCAAGTTCCTGCGGCTACTTGATCTCTCCTATTCATTTTTGGAAGTATTGCCTAATTCCGTTGGCACCTTGAAGCATTTAAGATATCTTGACTTATCCAGGTGTTATAGAATGAGCAAGCTTCCTCGTTCTATCTATAAGCTTCAAAGCTTGTTGACATTAAGATTGTTGGATATTGATTGCCAATTGCAACTGCCTCGCAATTTGCAAAGTTTGGTCAATCTCAGATTCCTAGATCTAACCGAGATTCTCATGGGAAATTAACACCCACACACAACACTCATATACACAAAATAACAAGCTCAAATAAAAAATAAAAACATACAAATATATTTGGTTCGACCCAAATCAAAATGATTTACTCAAAACTCAATCAACTAACAATAAATTTTTACAACTATAAAACTTTTAGAATGAAAAAAATCTTCAAAAACTCTTTATTTGAAATTTAACCCAAAATTTAATTATACCATTTTAATAACCTACTTAATTATTCTTTTGGTGTCTAACTTCTAAGACTCTCAAACCAAAACTAAAATATTTTATTTATAAGGATGAAATTTTTTATAACTTTATTAAGCTCTCAATATGAGATATAAGATAAATTCAAAACTCTTAAAATTTTCGATGTGTAATTATAAGATTCAAAGCAAATCCAAAGAGATACTACGCATATAAGTGAGATTCGACCAGGATGTTGGAGTTCTCTTCAGTTCTTGTACTGCTACGGATGTGAGTTGCAGGAATATTTGTTTGAAGGGATGCAACACCTGACATCACTTCGAAGTTTGACTATAAAATGTTGCTCTAAACTAGTCTCACTACCACGAAGTCTGAAATTTCTAACCAAGCTGGAGTGTATTACTATAGTTGAATGCCCAATAATCAATTTACGCATGGAACTGGAAGAAAGAGAAGACTGGGGAGCTTCACCTGTGCCTTTAGCAATTGGAAATACGAGGTGCACCAAAGTTGGAGGATCTACCGTGATTGCTTCTTGATAGATCTGCTAGTGTCACAGGTCGAGACTTAAACTTTGAATTCGCGCAGTTTTGGGACCCCGGGCATTCATCCTTTCGGCTTCCCGGATCAGCCTTCCCACCACGGTTCACACCCTTGTGAGGTATTGTCTACTCTGACCCTCTGACCTCACAGTTTTGTTCTACAAAAGGCGCCTCACAAGACGGAGGTGGTGTGAACCCTTATATACTCCAGTGACCCTCCTATTATGTTCGATGTGTGATTCAGGACTCCCCTTAGGTCCGTGACATTTAATGCCGGAAGGGTGAATGCCCGGGTCCCGGAGTCGCGTGAGTTCGGAGCTTAAGTCTCGACCCGTGACACTAGCACTTTGCAATTTATAAAAATTAACCGCTGTCCCAACTTTGAGATACTACCGGAATGGCTACAAAATCTGTCATCACTTCAAAAACTTGAGATTCTTGACTGCCCAAAATTATCCTCTTCCGGATGGTTTGGATCGCCTCACCTTGCTTACCCAACTACAGATTCGAAAATGTCCTACGTTGAGTGAAAAATATCAACCCGAAGTGGGTGCTGGTTGGTCCAAGATAGCACACATCCAAGAGGTTCATATTTAAGATCACAAGATTTACCAGGTATGGTTCGTGGTACTTATTAATTTCTTTATCTTTTATCCCTTCATTGCTAGTTAAAATTGACCATATCAGTTCCTCTCTACGCATGTATTATGCATACAACATTTGCAAATTTTAATGATTTGTGCCTTTGGTCGCAGGTAAATTTTGAAGTCGATGCTTTGGTGAGAATAAAGGAGCGGCATGTGAGACTTCAATCCACCCATTTCCACAAGATTCATTCGAACTTAGCTTTTTTTTTTTTTTTGGAACATTGCTTGGAATTACTTTGAGTTGTATTTTTAACTCATTTCATTTAGTTTTGAACTACTGCATGCAGCTCTCATGATGGATGATTGAACCAAAGCCTGTCGGTATAAAGGCTAGCGCTAGCTGGAAGCTTTTTAGTTTTTACTTTCTTTGATTTAGAGTCTTTGTGCCAATGATTTGTTGGCTTCAATTATGGACTTTATGGAAATATACTATAAAATGTATGGCTGCGTATAACCAGAAAAATGATTACTTGAAATGCGTACCATTTTATATGTTTCAACTAGCAAAGCAAGTTAAGAATAAGAATATGCCATCTATCTATTATCTATCATAAAATGAAACTCAACTAGAGATGCATAGTTGGGTGACACTATGGGTGGAGATTCATCATTTATTCAACCTTATGTCAATACTGACTTTTTGCAAAAAAAAAAAAAAAAATCTTGGAAGGAGAAAAAAAAAAACAGAAAGATTGAGTCTGAAAAAGAATGAACGGTGGAAAAACAAAGAAAACAACAATCAAAATTTACTAAAACTCAAATCGATCCAAAAATTCACGCATGCAGACATCACAACCTTTTCCAACGCCTATAACAAGCAAATCACATTTAAAGAAAAAAAGGGGGAAAAAAAGAGAACATCAGAAAAACAAATTGAGAAAAAAAATTGTTTAGGTTGTTTTAAAGTTACAATGCCCACTTGGTACCTCTCTTGAATGGTTAGGTTCTGTTTTATATATAGCTAGCTGTTTCCTTCATGTTTCCTTTCCTTTGAAATGGGCATGGCAGACAAACCAAAAATGTCGTTTTCATTAAATAAAATGATAGTGTTATTGCATCTTTCATTAAATAAAATGATAGAGTTATTACACTATCATCACTCTGCGGTCCATCTAAATCTAAGTCTAATACCATCATTGTGTTATTGCACCTTTCATTAGATGATGTACCTGCATTACTTGATGTAATCATCCTTGGAATTGACCCATTAATTATGAGTGTTCCCATATTTTTGTAATTAGCATAAAGAAGGATGATAACGGGTTAAATCAAAGTGAATTTTTATTTAATTTAATTTTAATTTAATTTTTTAATTTTTATACTCAATTTTAATTTTATTCGACATCAAAATATTATTTTATTCAATTTGATTAATATATTTATAAATTACGACGAATTTATTTCGATTCAAAATTAATATAATAATTTAATTTAATACAATATCATAAAATATTATTTCTAAATATAAATTATATCTTAGTTATATATAATATAAAATTTTTATTAAATCAATATCTTAAATTAAAATATTAAATAATTATTTTATTAACGTAATATATATAAACATAAAATTAAATAAATAATAAAAATATTTTTTTATATACACGCATCTAGTGGAGTTGGAACAACTTAAAATCCAACTTCAACTTAAACCCAATTTAAAGAAAAAAAAAAAAAGGAAATCCAATCCACTTTTGATCTGATTTTTTATTTAAAAAAATTTTATTTTATTTAAAATTAATTAAAATCTCTAAGATATAAATTATTTTATCACCTAAATATAATTTTATAAAATTTCTCGATGTTAAAGTATAAGGCTTATATCTTTTTATACACTCTGCTTCAACTGTTTGTCGTGTTCTGATTCATTAATTAAACGATTATCTCATTCAAGTATCTCCATTTCGCATAAATTCATCCATTATTGTCTATCGAGAAGGCCCATAAAAGGTGACTATAAGTTAAATCGCGATTTGGATTCGAAAGTATCCCTAGCATAAATATACTTGGCATGAAAAATTGTGCAAACGCATTGAACACGCAATTGGATGTCCATCACGAAATCAACTTTTACTCGTTGAATTTTTTGGTTTTAGTGGATGAACGCTCGATTGCATTTTTTTTTTTTTACCATTTTAATTGTATTGAAGAGACAAAAAAATATTTTTATAATTTAACCTTTTATTTTTTTTATTTAATATAATAAAAATACTATTTGATAAATTATTATTTTTATTAATTATCAATTATTTATTAATAAATTATTATTTGACATAAATTATTTGAATAAATTTATAATTATTTATTAATTTTATAAATTTTAAATTTTTAAAATTTTTTATTATATATAATTTTTAATTTAATATCTTATATGATTTTTTATTCTCACTATAACTTAATTTATCTTTAATATTTTTGTTTTATTCAAACACATATCTCACAACTATTTTTACTCTTATTATTATTATAATTATTTTTACTTTTATTAATATTTTTAATTTAATCAAAATCATTCTTATCATTCATTCAAATTAACTTTAACACAAAGAAGTAGAATAGTAATCAAAATCCTATTACTAACTTAGCGTGAAGGAGGAAGACTTCGTCGAAATTTTTTTTTTTTTTTTTAAATTGATTAGTTCCACAATATTAAGAAATTTGATAGAGAGAAATCTTATTAACTTGCTGGGGAGTGGATGGACCGTCAACGTCTAGTCGTTTGTGTACAGTTTTCGCCAAATGAATAAATTATTCGAAAATATATACATCTTGGAAAGCTATATATGAAGATCAACTGGCTGGCTCAAGGGCAAAGTCAATGAACTGCTCAGAGAAAAAGAGAGCGTTGACCTGTCTTTTAACTTAATAACCTTCGTCTTTTCTTTGATTTCAGAGTTCAGATATGAATGAATTATTCTTATTCGAGATTGCAGCAAGTGTTTTGGAGAAGATAACTTCCCTTGCTATTGAGGAAGTTCGCTTGGCATGGTTTGTCGAAAGCCATCAGCAAAAGCTTCGGGAGACCTTGACCTTGTCAATGGAAAAGACAATATACACGTGCATGTGCAGCCGGCTAGCTTTTGTCAAGGCATTTCCTTTTTTTCATGCCTTGTGCTAGGTTTTTTTTTTCAGTTCAATAGTTCCAGCTTTGACATTGATAGCTGAAAAGTGAGCAGATGTGTTCCATTTGCCAACCATGACTTTCGACTATGAACTTTTCCAGCACCTGGTGTAACCTTTGTTGCTCCACATTAGCACAAGCACACAAAATTTGTCCCCATACTCAACGTGAACATGCATAATTTTGGATAGGTAAATGTAGCTTCCGGTTATTTCCATGCATGAATGAAAGCCACTATATCCATCATATCGAACACTGTGAACTTAGTCATATGACTTTTCCGGTAACTGCCACTCATCAAAACATTAAGAATATTGTTGCCACTTATAATCTATTATTTCGAACAAAATTAAATATTTATATTCACTTAATATCTCTTTTGATTGGTTAGATTCTGTTTTAGTGCTGTTTCTTTGTATTTTTTTTTTAAAATTTTGTTGGATATGAAGTGACAAACAAAATAATATATCATAATAAATTTGTAGCAATAAATAATAATTAATAATTAATAATGTAGGAAAATAAAATACATCAAAATTTATTTAAAAACTCTTTTAATATAGAAAAAAATTATAGATCACCAAAAAATTTTTTATTATTGAATAATAAATATATAAAATTATCTTTTAGTTAAACTAAAATTAATCAACAACTAAAAAAATAATTTAAAAAATTTCACTAAATAAAAGACTCAATAAATATATTTTAAAAAAATTTTAAATTTGATTTTTACTGTTTAAAATATAAAATACAAAATCATAACTTACTCATAAAATTTTAATTAAATTAAATCAGACAACTCTCTTTTTTTTTTTCTATTTTTTTAATTTTTTTTTCTCGGTTTCAGCGTCACTCCACTTTTACACCTAAACAGTTCCCACTTCTTTATTATTTAAATCTTTCATTTCACGTTAAGTTAAAAGGCCTTGCCCATGAATGGTCAAAACCAAAAGAACCCCACGTTCTTAACATCTTTTGCAATGGACTCGACAATCGGGCATTACGCTTAAAAGTTTAAAGTTGAAATTTTAAACTTGATTTATCAGTCTAATACAAAATCAGGTATACAAAGTTTCTTCGATTTCCCTAGCCTAAATTTCAAAAAAAAAAAAAAAAAGAACTTCTTGGAATAAAGTAGGAATATCCAAAAGTCAACTCTTTTTCCATCAAGAATTTTTCAGAGTATTAACATCAGTATATTGTTGTGTGTTTCATCGATGGAAAGATTGATTTTGTAGGCAAACAAAAAATATGTGATTTTCGATAAATAAATGATAGTGACTTACACTATCATCACGCAGTTGATGCGTCTAATAGTATAAACAAATGATAATGCTTATACCTATTATGTACCAATAAAAGGAAAAAAATTAGTGTAATTTTTTAGAGTGAAATTAAATTCTATCATTTTATTAAGATTTTTTTACATTTACACATTGAATTTTAAAATTATATATTATAATTTATATCAATAAAAAATAAAAAATATATTTTTTTCAATTTCATTAAGCATATATATAATTATTAATAAAATTTTAAATTATATTATTTTTATATTTTTTTGTCATAGTATGATATATATTTAAAATTCATAGATCTAATCAAGAATATTTTTTGACCGTGTACATTTTATTTTTTTGGCGTGTTAGTGGTGCCTCACTCGTTTCTCGATAGTAGATGCCGTGCTTCCTCGGAAAGCATCCTTTTGCAAACATTGTATGCCCTTCTTTTTTTTTTTTTTTTTGTCTTTTTTTAATCTTTTGGTGGCGATGTGGCGGATCATAAACCAAACCACAAGTATAAAAGTAGTCTGGCTGTTAAAATAAAAGTACCGTCGGTTGTTAAAATAATTTTAAAATAAAAGTACTGTTAGCTGTTGAAATAAAATTTTTATTTTATTTTAAAATAAAGGAAGTGGTGGCCGCTGAAATAAAAGCTGTTCGGAAAATAAATAAATAAATAACTCTTTATTTTAAAACATTGAGAAAATAAAAAATGGAAGAAATATTATTTATTGTAAGAATATTCAATGTAAATAAGATCCAAAATAAAAATTTACATTATACCGATATTAAATAATTAAATTAAGTTAAAGTCCAAACTTGAAAATTCTTAATTGCAATAAAAGTTCATTACTCATTATTTTCAAAAAGAATGTAATCAAGTTAAGTCAATATATTACAATACTCGAATTAGATTCAAAAATTAAATCAAATTGATCGAATTTTATTTATTAAGCTCAAATTAAAAGCTCGTTCCATAAAATTTATTATCTAATCAAATTTATAAATTTAATCATATGCTTAAAGTAAAATTTAATTAATTGATTTAAATTTTAAACTAAACTTAAATCGATATTTTTTTTATAAATAATGATATTTTTAAAATAATTTCGTAACAATATAACATACTCACCATCCAATTAAAAATTTTTCTAAACATTAAAAAAAAAAAACCCAAACAACCAAATCCAAGAATTTCTTAAAAGGTTCCAATTTAACTAACAATAGCTCTCACTAAAACTATACTAAAATTGAAAACAAAAACAGCACTAAAACAAGCATTATTGCCAGCATATATTATTCAAACAGTTTCTTTTTTTCTTTTAAGTAGTTAAAGTAGAAATAAACAATATTCAGTAGCTATCTTTTAGACAAGGGCCATAGCTAAAGGTTTAGTAAAATTACTTGCTAAACCTTCAAAGGTTTAGCCTTTGATTTTTCTATGTAAATTGATGTTGATCGAAGGTAGGGATAAGCATGTGGATATAACTTACTGTATATGCAGACAGCTATGTTGAAATAAGGCATGAAGGAAGAGTGCTAGAAAGGAAAGGTGTGGTTGCTATTGGTGTCCCACTAGTTACGAGAGAGTGGATGCCCCCTGGAAAGCATCATTATTCCTTGTGCCAACATTTGATGGTTTTTTACTGCTGGCTGCTAAAATAAAATATTTACTGTAAACTCACTTGTTTAGTTTCCCTGAAACAAACTTCATCATAAATACTATACTCAATCGTCCTTTACCTTTGATTGCCTCTTCAGAGTTTAATTATGGCGGAATCATTTCTGGCCCTTGTTGCAGAACAGCTTTTGGAGAAGATAGCCTCCCTGGCTGCCAAGGAAACTCTCTCCCTGGCTGCCAAAGAAATTCTATCACTATGGAATGTCAGTAGTGATTTGAGAAGGTTTCAGGAAACCATGACCTACATCAAAGCTGTGCTGTTAGATGCTGAAAAACGGCAGCAGCAGAATGAGACGTTGCGCCTTAGTTTGGGGAAGCTTAGAAACGTCTTATATGATGCTGAGGATGTGCTTGATGATTTCAGGTGTGAAGCACTGCGAAAGGAGTTGATAAATCGTGGAAGCACCAAGGTACGATTCCCTTCCATCTTTATTCCATTTGCATTCCCTTTAAGGATGGATCATAAAATCAAAAAGATCAATGAAAGGCTAGATATGATTGCTAGTGATTTCAAAAGATTTAATCTTGGAGCTGTAGAGCAAGTTGAGAACCGGCGCACTAGTCTCAGGGATACCCATTCCTTCGTGATAACTTCTAACGTGATTGGTCGAAATCAAGATAAAGAAAATATCATAAATCTTTTAATCCAGTCAAGCGAGGGTCAAAATAATATTCCCGTTATCCCTATAGTTGGAATAGGAGGTTTGGGGAAAACTACGCTTGCTCAGTTGGTGTACAATGATGAAAGAATCACTCGGTGTTTTCCATTGCAATTATGGGTGTGTGTATCAGACTTGTTTGATGTTTCCAGGTTGCTTTGTGAGATTATTTACTGCTTAAGTCGTGAAAGGTGTGATGGTTTACCAGTCAATGCACTGTTCACTCTTCTGCAAAGTCTTATAAAAGGTCAAAAATTTTTACTTGTTTTAGATGACGTGTGGAACGAAAATCGTGTTAAATGGTATGAATTGAAAGACATGTTGGTGAAATTGGATGATTTGCATCAAAGTAAGATCCTTGTAACCACACGGAGTTCAGAGGTCGCATCAATAGTGGGTACAGGTGCTCCTTATGAATTGAAAGGTCTTGAACATCAAGATTGTTTGTCTTTGTTTGCAAAATGGGCATTCAAGGAAGGAGACGAGGAGCTATATCCGAACCTTATGAGGATTGGTAATGAAATTGTGAAAAAATGCAAAGGGGTTCCTCTGGCAGTGAGAACTCTGGGGAGCTTACTTTATTCAAAAACTGGGCAACGTGACTGGGAATTGATAAGAGATAACGACATCTGGAAGCTTGACCAAAAGGAAGATGGCATCTTACCGGTCCTAAAATTGAGTTATAATTATTTGCCACATCACTTGAAACGATGTCTGGTCTTTTTGTCTTTATTTCCAAAGGATTCTGACTATGACACTGATTATATCATCCAATTCTGGATGGCCAATGGACTTCTTGAACGTCCCAACCAAAACGAAGACGAACGCATCGAAGATGTTGGGTTACAGTATTTCAAGGACTTATGGTCAAGGTGTTTTGTCCAAGATGTCCAAGATAGAAACTCATTTTATATCTTCAAAATGCATGATCTGATACATGATCTCTTATTAAATGTTTCACAAGAAGAGTGCTTAACAGTATATCAACAAACCGTGAATGCTTCTGAAAATATTCGGCATTTGTCATTTTCTGATCAAAATATTCCATTGAGAACTCCACTTTTTTTGAAGAAGTTGAAACGTGTGCGCTCATTAGTAATCCTACCTTCTCCAGGACACTGTAGGATGGTTGAGAAATCATTTCTGAGTGCTTGCTTCTTGAATTTTAAGTACCTACGGCTATTTGATCTGGAACATACCTTTTTGGAGGTATTACCAAAATCCATCTGCACCTTGAAGCATTTACGGTATCTTAACTTAACTAGGTGCATGAGATTGACTAGGCTTCCTAAGTCCATCTATAAGCTCCAGAGCTTGCTGACTTTGAGATTATTTGATGTTCCAAATTTGCAAGTGCGTGACAACTTGCAAAGATTGATCAATCTCAGATTTCTAGAGATTACTGCGGCTGATATGCAGTTAAAGGAGATTCGACCTGGGAGTTGGAGTTCACTTCAGTTCTTATACTTTTACGAGTGTAAGACACTGGAATGTTTGTTTGAAGGGATGCAATACCTCACATCTCTTAGAAATTTGATTATGAAGAAATGTTATAGACTCGTCTCACTGCCTCGAAGTCTGAAGTTCCTAGTCAAATTGGAGGAAATTGCAATTATTTCCTGCCCAATGATCAATTTACGCATGGAACCGGAAGGCAGAGAAGACCAAGACCTTCACTTGAGCCTTCAGAAGTTGATATTACGCGATGCACCAAACTTGGAGGATCTGCCTCAATTGCTTCTTGAGGGATCTGTTGGCTGTTTGCAGTTCATTGAAATCCAGCATTGCCGCAACTTTGAGATGCTACCAGAATGGCTAAAAAACCTCAATTCACTTCAAAGACTGGAGATTCTTAATTGTCCCAAATTATCCTCTCTTCCCGATGGAGTAGACCATCTCACTGCACTTAGACAACTGAAGATCCAAAAATGTCCTACATTGTGTGAAAACTGTAAACCGGAAGCTGGCGCAGATTGGTCCAAGATATCACACATCCGGGAGGTTCATATTGAAGACCAAAAGATTATCAAGTCACCTTAGAGGTATTTTTTTATTTAGCAATCTAATCTATCACTGTTCGATGTACTTCTTTATAATTCTGAAATACTATTTCTTTTTCTTTTCTCCTTTTCTGATCTCTCAGGGAAAAACTTAAAAAAAAAAAAAGAGGAAATTTCTATTTTATGAATTTTTTATATTTTAGATTTGAAATTAAATACTCCAAAATTGCTGCTGAAAAAAATTCCCAAGTTAAGATGGAGCATTAATTATAGGATGGTCTTATTATATAGTACTACTATATGTTCTTATGCATGACATTTTCATTTGCATTTCCTTTTAATTTCTAGAATTCAGATTAAACGTCCTCTAACTTCCAGTAAAAAATTAAAAAAAAATGATCATATAATTTGCTCAATGTATACAACATTTGCAAATTTTAATAATTTGTATTTTTGATGTCTAAGGTAGATTATGAACTGGATGCTTTGATGAAAATAAAGAAGTAGCAGGTGAGACTTCAACCCATCCATAGCATTCTACTCTAATTAAAGTTCATCAGCAATATTTTATGAAAATTTCAATTCTTATATATTATATATCAGAATTTTACGAATTGGGATTTTTATATATATATATATATACATTTTTTATACTAAATCAAATATATAAATCTTTATGTATGCATGTATGTATTTTTTTTGCAAAATTAAACAGATTTTATTTGAATGAAAAAGTTACAAAATGTATGTATGTATGTCTTTGGTACATTGGAGCAGACTAAGTCTGCTAAATTACACAAGATGTTTCGTTATATATTAAACCTAATAGGAATTGCATTTCAGCTGTATTTTTAACTCATTTAGTTTTAACCATTGCATGCAGCTCTCATTATGGAAAATTCAAGGAAGGCGTGTTGGGTATGGAAGGCTGGCTGTAAGCTTTTTACTTTCTTTGATTTACAGTCTTTTTGTTGTTTTTAACTTGCCTTCAATTAAGGACTTTATGGAATATTATTGTTGTAATAAATGAATGTGATTTTAATTTGTATCAGATGTAATGTAATTAACAGTGCTATTCTGTAAGATTTATTGTGATATTATGTACCAGACATACTTAATTATGTGTTTGTTGTGTTATGACTAGTTTGTTTTAAATTGCTCTTAGTTTTTCTGTATCCCATTGTGGGCTTTTTCTTGGCTTGCTTCAGATATCAAGTCTCTTGGTTTGATGTAACATTTGTTGCCTTGATGTTGCGTATTGATTGTAGTTCATGTTCGTAACATTGTTTGACCCCATGTACCTAGAATATGTATTTGTTTGCGTAATCTACTTCAGCTATTCATTTCAGTGTTCTATATTCAGTTATTGTTTCCTCGAGGTGAATGATATTATCTCATTTAGAAAGCATTGGTTCTAAGCAAAATCAGAACTTTACTTAGAGGTTGTTGCATAACAGTTTTTTTTTTTGAAATTTTTCGACGATCGATAATAATTTTGAATTTTGATTAATTTAGAATCAAATTGAATCAAACCTCATAAAAAAAACTAAGTTCTTTCAAAATTATTTTTTTATTTACAAAACTCAAAAACTAAAACTTTAATTAAAGTTAACCATCTATGCTGCATAACAGTTTAACGATAACAATCAATGCATCCCTAAGTCGTGTGTAAAGTCTTATAAAAGGTCACTTTTACTTGTTTTACACGAGGGGGGAACGTGTGAAATAAAATGGATATTTATTTGAAAAATTTATCAATTATCAGTAAATTGAATGATTTGTTGTATCAAAGTGAAACTCTATGAGGTATTCATACAACACGATACTAATGATAATAAAAATATTTTTATATATTCTTTCTTCTCACAATTTATTTGTTTTAAAAAATTATAATTTATGTATTTAATATTATAATTTTAATTTTTTATAATATTGAATTATCATATTTTTTATTATCAAAAAATAAATTTTAAGTATAAAGATAAAATAAAAGGTATTCAAAAATTTTAAAAAATATATATTTTGAAACGACTCAAAAATGAAAAAAAAATGGAAGAAATATTACCTATGTAAAAATATTCAATGTAAATAAGACCCAAAATAAAAATTTGCATTATACCCATATTAAATAATTGAATTAAGTTTAAGACCACACTTAAAAATTCTTAATTGCAATAACATTAAGTTCGTTACCCATATTATTTCCACCAGGTGATGCTTAAATCTAAATATGGAATCCATCAGTTGTTTAGTTTTCTATCGGTTCTGCTTTAAAAAAAATTTTCAAGTAAAATGCATTTCGTTTTGTGTCCGTCGATATACTCACTGATTTTTTTATTTTTTTTGCGTGTCCGTGGGTGTCCCTCGCGTTACGATAGGGTGGATGCCATGCTTCCTGGAAAGCATCCATTATTCATTATGCAAACATTGGAAGCCTTTTTTTTTTTTTTTTGTTCTTTTGGTGGTGATGTAGCTGATCATCAACCAAACCACAACTATAAAAGTACTGATAGCTGCTAAAATGAAATATTTACTCTAAACTCACTTGTTTAATTTCTCGGAAACAAACTTCAATATAAATACTATACTCAATTGTTATTTACCTTTGATTACCTCTCCAGAGTTTAATTATGGCGGAATCATTTCTGGCTATCATTACAGAACAGTTTTTGGAAAAGATAGTATCCCTGGCTGCCAAAGAAACTCTATCGCTTTGGAATGTTAGTAGTGATTTGAGAAGGCTTAAGGAAACCATGACCTACATCAAAGCTATGCTGTTAGATGCTGAAAAACGGCAGTAGCAGAATGAGACGTTGCGCCTTAGTTTGGGGAAGCTTAGAGACGTCTTATATGATGCTGAGGATGTGCTTGATGAATTCAGGTGTGAAGCGCTGCGAAAGGAGTTGATCAATCGTGGAAGTGTCATGCCTTGGGCGGGTGCACCAGGCACATCTGGCGCACCAACACGCGCATTTGAGGTTGAGGCCCACGCACTAGGTGCATTGGCAGGAGTTAGTGCCCAATGCCTTGGAGGCATGGCCAGAATGCCCGCACAGCCTGTAGGCCAGCCCGCAAGGCCAAGGTCTAGCCTGCATAATGCCTGTACCATATCTAGTAGGGCCCAAGATGAGAGATATGCAAGGGGATCTTTTGGAAGATCATAGAATCAACAAGAGCTTTCTAGTAGATCTGGTTAATCCTTAGAATCAGGAGATAGAATCCTGATTGATTGTAATATTCGTAATTCCTTTATTTTAACCTTGATTCTAGGGATTTAGCCATAAGTATAGCTGGGAGCCTCAACTATGAATAGAGGGCTGCTCCACCTTCATTTGTACATCATCATACACTTCTGTTTCAGTGAATACAAAGCATATTCTAGCAAGCTATTTTGTTTTCTTGTTTCTTTCAAACTTACGCATTTAGCCCTTCCCATTATTTTAGTGCCCACACGCTGGTGTTTTAGGCTAACTTAGGCTACAAGGAAGTGATTCCAAGCCTAAGGCCGCACGGATTCTGAGTCTAAGGTCAGAGCCCGTGACAGTTGGTATCAAAGCAAGTTCGCTTCTGCGTGTTTTTATTGTTCAGGTTAGATCACAGTCGAGGAGATGGCATCCTAGAGTGACGTTGCTAGCCAACAACCAAAGGCCCAGGAGCAGGGGCATGAAAGAGGCAAGAAGGCTAACTTAAGAGACATCTGGTCTACCATGGACGGTAGGTTGGCCAAGGTGGAGGTGAGCATGGGCAACATGCAAGAGAAGCTTAAGGATGTGGAGACTCACGTTGAAATGCTAGACTCCATGAAAAAGGAGCTCAGTGGCGAGTTACAAGCTGCTTTCAATAAAGGCATGAACGTGATCACCCAAAAGAATAAGATCTTAGAGGCTGTGGTGGAGACCATGTGCGATGGCATGGAGGCTATGAGCAAGAAGATAGAGGAGCTCACCAGCGAGCTCATTGTTTGCAAGACTGCCATTGGGAATGGCATGTTTGCTGGAGTGTCTAAATCCAGGATGGATGTCTCCAAGCCTAAAGAGTTGAAGGAATTAAAGTGGCTAAAGAAGTAGACAACTACCTATGAGGTATGGAGCAGTACTTCCAGGCCATGGGCATGCAGGATGAGGCAATAAAGGTAAGCACTACTACTATGTATCTTACTGATATAGCCTTATTGTGGTGGAGGCATAGGTATGATGATGTTAGGCATGGCAGCGCCAAGATTGGAACCTGGACAGAGTTTCAAAAAGAGTTCAGAGAACAATTTTACCCAAAGTATGCCAATGATGAGGCGCAGGCAAAGTTACGTAGGCTGAGCCAACAAGGGGACATAAGGGAGTATGTCTAGAGATTCTTTAAACTGATGTTACAAATATCAGATCTAGGTGAAATGATGCCTTATTTACTTTTATGGATGGGCTGAAGCCGTGAGTGAAGCATGAGCTACAACGGAGGGGAGTTCATGACTTGGCTAAAATCATGACTACTGTTGAATCTTTAATAGAGTTTAAGCCTCTGAACAAGTTCGAGTCTTCCAAACCCAAGGGTAAAGACAAGGATGAGAGGGACCGAAAGAAGTAGTCCAAAGGGAAATACCGTGATTGGGAGTCCAAGGATGAGGATCGAGACCGTTCAACTAATGATGGCAAGAGGAAACCACCAATAGGCAATTGAAAAGCAAAGGAAGATCGAGAACCATTAGCATGCTACTTATGTGAAGAGAGCCATACAGCACGCAATTACCTACAGAAAGGTAAACTAGCTACTGTAGACAAAGAGTCTGACGAGGAGCCAGAGATAGGGGCAGCAAAGCTTAGGTCGTTGGTGCTCAATGTTGTCCAAAGTAAGGGGAACCTCAAGCCAAAGGGCTTGATGTTTACGGATCTGATGGTTGCAGGTCAGAAGGTGAGCACACTGATGGACACAGGTGCCTCACATCTTTTTATTTCAAGTGATGGAGCCTAGAAGCTCAGACTAAAGGTACAAAAAGAGACAGGTACCATTAAAACGATGAACTCCAAAGATATTTCAGCCATTGAAGTAGCGCGAAGAGTGGAGTTACAGCTTGGAGACTAGAAAGACAAGAAGACCATAGAGGTAATACCCCTTGACGACTATGAATTTATGATTAGGTTAAATTTTCTTGTTCGGATTAACACCCTCTTTGTGCTTTTTACCAATTGTATTTGCATCTTGAATGCATGGTGCCAATGCCTAGTGCCATTGAGGAGAGGGTTCGAAGTTGGGTCACAAGTGGTGTCAACTATCCAATTTGCCAAGCGATAAACAGAAAAGAAGACACCTTCTTGGTAGCCCTAAAATATGAGAAGCCAAGGGAGAAGGAGACCAAGTCACCTTTGGAAGTGCTGAAGGTACTGAAGACTTTTAGTGATATGATGCCCGTAAAGTTGCCTAACCAGCTACCACCTAAGAAAGAGGTGGATCACAAGATCGAGCTGGTGTCCAAGGCCAAGCCACCAGCTAGAGCCCTTTACCGAATGTCCCCACCAGAGTTGGAGGAATTAAGGAAGCAACTCAAAGAGTTAGTTGATGCTGGCTTCATCAGGTCATAAAAGGTACTATATGGTGTATCAATTTTATTCTAGCGTAAGCATGATGGGTTATTACGATTGTGCATAGACTACCGGGCTTTGAACAAGCTGACCGTCAAGAACAAGTATCCTATCCCACTCATTACGGACTTGTTCGACCAACTTGGAAGCATAAGGTGGTTCACCAAGCTGGATTTGAGGTCGAGCTATTACCAAGTCAGGATCGCGAAGGGAGATGAGCCCAAGATAGCATGTGTCAATCAGTATGGTTCGTATGAGTTCCTGGTCATGCCATTCGGACTCACGAATGCCCCAGTAACATTCTGTACCCTTATGAACAAGGTACTTCAGTTGTTCCTTAATCGATTTGTTGTGATTTATTTGGATGACATTATGATCTACAGCCAAACTTTGAGAGAACATGTAGACCATTTAAGATAAGTGTTCGTGGTGTTGTAGGCGTACAAGCTATTTGTCAAAAGGAAAAGTGCTCATTTTCCTAGCAAGAGATCTCATTCTTAGGCCACATAGTGAAAGGTAACGGGATACACATGAATGAAGGTAAGATGCACGCCATTCTGGAGTGGGAATCGCAAGCCAAGGTCATTGAGTTGAGGTCATTCCTTAGGCTGGTTAACTACTACAAGCACTTTATGAAAGGTCACTTAGCAATAGCCACGCAATTGACTGATTTGTTTAAAAAATAGAGAGTATAAGAGTGGAGCACAGGGTGCCAGAAAGCTAAGAAGCCTTTGATAGGTTGAAGCAGGCTATGACCAAAGAGCCAGTCTTGGCCTTGCCAGACTATGCCAAGCTGTATGAAGTGCATACGGATGCATCAGACTTTGCTATAGGGGACATGTTGATGCAGAAAAGACATCCAATCGTGTTCGAAAGCAAGAAGCTTAACGAGACTGAGCACAAGTACATGGTCCAAGAGAAAGAGATGACTGCAGTGGTGCACTGCTTGTGCACTTGGTGCCATTACCTGTTGGGATCGAGGTTCGTGGTTAGGACAGACAATGTGACGACCAGCTACTTTCAGACGTAAAAAAAGTTATCCCTTAAGTAGGTGAGATGGCAAGATTTTCTTATGGAATTTGATTTCCAGATGGAGTACAAGCCAGGATGGGCGAACCTGATGGCAGACGCCCTAAACAGAAAGGCTAACCTTGCTGTCATTAGCCAACCAGAGGAGTCACTGGTGCCACGCATCAATGAGGGACTTGCGCATGATCCTATAGCCAAGGCTCTTATAGAGTATGCCCAACAATGTAAGATTAAGTGGTTTTAGGCGCAAGATGGTTTGTTGTACACCAAGGGTAGTAAACTGTTTGTACCACAGCATGAAAAACTTCGTAAGGAAGTTTTGTAAGAGTGTCATAATTCAAGGTGGGTTGGACACCCAGGAGTGAGCTGTACCTTGGCATTGCTAGAGGATCAGTACTATTGATCGTATATGAGGGACGATGTGAAGGCCTATGTGAAGACTTGTCTTGTGTGCCAATAGACAAGGTAGAGCTCAAGAAATCAGACGATCTCTTGGAGCCATTGCTAGTGCCAGAGCGACCATAGGAGAGTGTTTCTCTAGACTTTATAGTTGGTATACCCAAAGCAGAGGGGTTTGAAAGCATCATGGTAGTGGTGGACAGGTTTTCCAAATATGGAATCATTATTCCAGCAACCAAAAAGTGTTCAGCTGAAGAGATAGCTCGATTATTCTTGAAGAACATGGTTAAGTACTGGAGAATGTCGAGGACCATTGCTAGTGATCAGGATGGACGTTTCACGGGCAGGTTCTAGACTGAGTTGTTCAAGCTGTTGGGGTCAGACTTGAACTTTTCCACCAATATGCATCAGTAGACCGATGGGCAGACTGAACGTGTGAATGAACTATTGGAGGTCTACCTCAAACACTATGTGAGTGCCACGCAAAGGGATTGGCCAAAGTTGCTAAATGTTGCATAGTTTTCTTACAACTTGTAAAGGAGTGAGGCAACGAACCAGAGCCCATCTGAGGTTGTGATAGGTCAACAACCATTAACACCCAGGTCAATTGCTACAGGTTATACAAGGCTGAATCCAGCAGCATACAAGTTTGCCAAGGCTTGGTAGGAGTAAGCTAACTTGGCCAGAGTCTGTCTACACAAAGGGACAAAGAGGTCGAAAAAATGGGCAGACCAGAATAGATGGGACGTGCAGTTTCAAGTGGGAGACTTGGTGTTGGTAAAGCTGCATCCCATTATGCATCACAGGGGGTTGCACAAAGGCCTAATCCGGAGGTATAACGAACTTTTTCAAGTAGTCAAGAAGGGAGGCAAGGTTGCCTATAAGCTGGATATGCCACCCAAGCTGAGGGTACATTCGATGTTCCATGTAAGCATGCTCAAGCCGTTTTATAAGGATGAGGGAAATCCAGGACTGGCAAAGTCAAAGCGTGCAGCATTGAGAGCAAGAGCCTCATATGATAAGGAGGTCCACAACATCATAGCTGACCAAAAAATGAGACAGAAAAATTGCCAACCAAGATAAAAGTACTTGGTGCGCTGGAAGGAACTTCCAGACAATGAGGCAAGTTGGGAACCGGCAGAAGGACTTATGGCAGTTTGGGGATCAGATCATGTAGTACCATACAGAGGACGCAATGAGGGCATAGTGTAATCAGGTGGGGGAGAATGTCACAACCCTAGGTGGGTGCACCAGGCACATTAGGCGCACTAGCACGTGCACCTAAAGTTGAGGCCCGCGCACCAAGTACATTGGCGAGAGTTAGCGCACAAGGCCTTTGGAGACAAAGCTAAAATGCCTGCACAGCCTGCAGGATAGCCCACAAGGCCAAGGTCTGGCTTACATGATGCCCGCACCACATCCAGCAGGGCCCAATATGAGAGATACGTAAGGGAATCTTTTGAAAGATCACAGGATCAGTAAGAGCCTTTTGATAGATCTGGTTGACCCTTAGAATCAGGAGATAGAATCCTGATTGATTGTAATCTTTGTAATTCCTAATTTTAGCCTTGATTCTAGGGATTTAGCCATAAGTATAGCTGGGAGCCTCAACTATAAATAGAGGGCTGCTCCACCTTCATTTGTATATCATCATACATTTTATTTTAGTGAATACAAAGCATATTCCAGCAAGTTATCTTATTTTTTTGTTTCTCTCAAACTTGCGCATTTAGCCCCGCATGCTGGTGTTTTAGGCTAACTTAGGCTACAAGGAGGTGATTCCAAGCTTAAGGCCGCATTGATTCTGAATCTAAGGTCGAAGCCTATGACAGAAGCACCACCAACAAATTGGTACGATTACCTGCTCTCTCTCTCTATTCCATTTGCATTCCCTTTGAGGATGAGTCATAAAATCAAAAAGATCAATGAAAAGCTAGATGCGATAGCTAATGATTTCAAAAAATTTAATCTTGGACTTGAAGAGAAAGTTGAGAACCGACGTGTTATTCTCAGGGATACCCACTGCTTTGTGATACCTTCTAATGTGATAGGTCGTAATCAAGACAAAGAAAACATCATAGATCTTTTAGTCAAGCCAACCGATACTAAAAAATTCCCCGTTATCCCTATAGTTGGAATTGGAGGTTTAGGGAAGACCACGCTTGGTCAACTTGTGTACAACGATGAAAGGATCATTAGGCTCTTTCCTTTGAAAATATGGGTGTGTGTGTCAGATGAGTTTGATCTTGCTAGGTTGCTTTGTGATGTTATTTACTCCATTACGAGAGAAAGATGTAATGGCTTGCCAATTAATGCATTGCAAACTCATTTGTGAATGCTTTTAGATGGTAAAACTTTTTTACTCATTTTAGATGATGTATGGAATGAAGATCATGTAAAATGGATGGAACTGAGAGATTTACTGATGACAATGGGTAACTTTCAACAAAGTAAAATCCTTGTGACTACACAGAGTTCAAAAGTTGCTTCGATAGTGGGTATTATTGCTCCGTACAACTTGAAAGGTCTTAGTCACAAAGATTCTCTGTCTTTGTTTGTAAAATGGGCATTTAGGGAAGGGGATGAGAAAGTGTATCCAAACCTTATGAGAATTGGTGATGAAATTGTGAAAAAATGCAAAGGGGTTCCACTCAGAGTGAGAACTTTAGGGAGCTTGCTCTACATGAACACTGAGCAACATGAATGAGAATTTATAAAAGATAACGACATGTGGAAACTTGGTCAAAAGAAAAATGACATTCTACCTATGCTGAAATTGAGTTATAATCATTCGCCATCTCATTTGCAAATGTGCCTAACTTGTTTGTCATTGTTTCCAAAGGATACTATTTATGATACTGATTATATCATCCAATTCTGGATGGCCATTGGACTTACTGAAAGCCCCAAGCAAAATGAAGAGTGGAAGATGTTGGGTTACGATATTTCAAAGAATTATGGTCGAGGGGTTTTGTCCAAGATGTCGAGGATGAATATACATATTACACATTTCAAATCCATGACCTAATACATGATCTCTTGTCAAATGTGTCTCAAGATGACTGTTTAACAATTTATCCTCGTACAATAAATGCTGCTGATCATATTCGACATCTGTCATTTTCAGGTGATAATCCATTGAGAGCTCCACAGTCATTTTTGAAGAATTTAAAAGGTGTGCGGACATTGGTGATCCTACCTTCTTCAGGAAGAAATAGGATAATTGAGGAACATTTTGTAAATGCTTCCATCTTGAATTTCAAGTTCCTGCGGCTACTTGATCTCTCCTATTAATTTTTGGAAAGTATCGCCCAATTCCGTTGGCACCTTGAAGCATTTAAGATATCTTAACTTGAGCTTTTGTCAAAGAATGAGGAAACTTCCTACTTCTATCAGTAAACTTCAGAGCTTGTTGACTTTACAGTTGACTGGCATTCCACTGATTGAAATGCCTGAATGTTTGCAAAGCTTGATCAGTCTTAGATTTCTAGAGATAACTATAGATTCCACACTTTTAAGGGATATTAAACCAAGATTTTGGAGTTCACTTCAGTTCATGCACTTGTATGGATGTGGTATGATAAAATCTATATTTGATGGGATGCAACACTGTCGTAACGGTTTTGAGTCCGTCAGACATAAAATGAGTTTTAAAATCGAGAGAAATAAAAAGAATCATCACCAATCTTTGTTAGAGTGTGATTGATCACCCAAAAGTTTATCCTTTGAATAAAACTATAAAAACAAGTTTAAAGTTTATTAAAAAGATAAATTTCGATCTACGAAAAATCAGGTTAGGTCTGAAAATCGGTTACGTGTGGGGAACAATTAGCACCCTCACAACGCCCATAAATTAGTATCATTTAATTATGCGTTATTTTTTATATTGGATAAAAATGGTTTTAATTTGAAATTTGACACTAATTCCCTTCATTTGAAAAATAAAATTTTGCTAAAATTTTTATTTAGAAATATTGAAAAAATTTTTAAGTTAAAGAATTATTTTAAAATTCTCCAACATCTAGGCAGAATTTAAAATAACTCTTTTCGCTTAAGATTTAACACAACAATCCTTAAAATGAAATAACATTCTTTATAAAAAATTGTTGGTGACTCTCCAACATCTAGGCAGGATACCAAGAATTATTTCTGTCGGAATGTTATTTTTATTTTATTTTGTAATATCACAATTTTTTTTTAAAAAAATGTATAATTCTTTTTTCATTATAAAATATTTTATTATCGAACAGTAAATTAAAGAGAGAATAATGCAGACAATTATCGATGATAACATATTAACGTATATATGCTAATAAATGTCATATAAAATGAAATGTAATTTAAAAGTTGGATTCTTAAGTATAATGAGGCCACCCCGACTCTCCAACATCTAGGCAGAGCTTAGGTGTGACTGTTTATATTTAAAATCTCAATTTACTATTATACTTTTTATTTATTAATCTTATTATCAATACGAATTACGAAATCGTGTGAAAAGACTTAACGAAGTAAATTTTCCTAAATACCCCATCATCTAGGCGACATTCGGAAAAAATTACTTCAATAGAATTTTTACACGTGTTCTTAGGACTTTTAGCAGGTTTCAAATAAGGGCTTAAGTAGAGGTTTAGAAGGTTTGGTTTTAAGGTTTTTAGGGTTTTAAAGCTTGAATTTTAGGATAATGAAGGTTTAGGGTTTTAATTTTAGAGTTTGGAAATTTTAGGGTTTAGGTTTTGAAAGTTTAAAGGTTTTGGATTTCGGATTTTGGAGGGTTTTGGATTTAAGGAGTTTGGATTTAAGGGATTTTGGATTTAAGGGGGTTTGGATTTAAAGGGTTTTAGAAACCTAGGATTTTGAAAATTAAAAATTAGTGTTTAAGGTTTCGTTTTTAAGACAATACGAACATCTCTAAAAATCTCCAATATCTAGGTGGATTTTCGAAACAAGTTTGATTTTAATAATTTTTAAAATTAATTTAAAATTTCTTATAATTATTTTTTTATGAAAATTTATTAATAATAATTCCCCCACATCTACTCGAAATTATTTTTTAGAAAAATATTTTTATTCCCTCCAACATCTAGGCAAAGAAAATAATAATAATAATAATAAATATTTTTTTGAACATTTTTAATATATATTTTTAATCATTTTCAATTTTATTATAATTAAAACAATTAAACATTTATTCTAACAAATTTGAAAATTTATCATGCATCAATAAAAAATACTCAAAATAACAAAAAAAATAATAAATTAAAAAATTTAGAAAATTAAAAAAAAAATTTTTTTACTTAAACTGAACCAATCAACGGTCCGATCAACGTTGGTCTGAGCTGGTCGGATCGGTTCGGTGGTTCGATTGGTGGTTTAAAAGATCCAGCAGTTCAGATCGGTTCACTGACAGTTCGTCTAAATCGGTCCAAGGTTGGCTAAGAGGGTCGGTGGGTCGGGTTATACGGATCTCGGGTCAAGTTCGATCCACGCGTTGATCCTTTACTCTTGAAACGACGTCGTTTTAGTCCTATGCCCAAAACGACATCGTTTTGCCCTTATGTTTTCTATATATAACTGAAAAAAAAATTTTGTTCATTCTTTTAGTTTTTTAGAAAAAAAAAGGGGGGGGGGAGAGGGAGAGCTCGCCGTCTGGTCGTCGAACCACCACGCTGGTCGCCGCCTGGGTCGCCATCGGCAGGGTTGCCGGTGGTCGCCAGTGGTCGAAAAATTTTAATAGTACTCCCAGAAGCGCTCTTCGACACACTCTTCCTGGATCTGACGTCCGTTTTACCGGAAACAGCTCCGATCAACGTAGATCGGGGCTCAAAGCTTTCGGTCTCCTTTCTCTTTCTCTTTTTTTTTTTTTTTAAAAAAGGACATTGATGATTTCTTTGCTTATTTGCAGGGCTTTCTGGCGCTGAGGTTCCTCCCTACGGGGAGGACTGTTTAACTCTTTTTTTTGTTTCTGTTTTTGTATTTCTGTTTTCGATTTGGTGTGGGTGTTTGGGGTTGTTGAAAATGCTTTGAAGGGGGTAACTCGTTTGAGCTTGGTGATTTTTGGTATGGGTGAAATGAATGGGCTCTTGGGCGTCCGAGAGAGTTTTTGAGACGGGGGTCCAAGAGAGTTGAAAGGGAGAGGGACTAGGGATTTTAAAGAACTCCAAGGTGGCTGTAGGGTGGCTGTAAGTGACTGTAGGCTAGTGGGTAGACAGGGGCTAGTCGGGTTGTAGGGTGGCTGGTCGGGGGCTGAGGATTTTAAAGAACTTCAAGGTGGCTGTAGGGTGGTTGTAGGTGGCTGTAGGTTGGTGGGTAGACAGGGGGCTGGTCAAGAAGCTGACAGAGAGCTGGTCGGGTTGTAGGGTGGCTGGTCGAGGGCGACAGCAGCGCCAGCCACCCTACTTTCTGTTTTTTTGTTTTTTTATTTTTTTTTGTTTTTTATATTTTTATATAATTAATAATTATTATTTTTTAAAATTAATATTATTATTATTATTATTAAAATATTAATATTATACTAAAATGAGAATAGTAGACCCGGACGAAACCGGTGTCTACAAACAACTCACATCACTTAGAAGATTGGCTATCCAAGACTGTTCTAGATTGATTTCACTACCAAGAAGTCTGAAATTCCTAACCAAATTAGAGGAAATCCATATACTTGGCTGCCAGAAAATCAATTTGTGCATGGAACAAGAAGGAGAAGAAGACCGAGACCTTTACTTGCGGCTTAAAACTTTAACAATATCGGGATCAGAAGCGTTGGAAGATCTGCCACGGTTGTTTCTTCAAGGATCAGCTACCACTTTTAAATCCATGATAGTAAGGAATTGTCCCACCTTCAAGGTACTACCAGAATGGATGCAAAATCTCACTTCACTTCAGAGGTTGGAGCTTGTACATTGTTCAGCATTTTCCTCTCTTCCCGAAGGACTGAGTAGCCTCACCGCACTTAGGCAAGTAAAGATTCAAAAATGTCCTGCGCTGAGCCAAAATTGTCAACCTGGGGTTGGTGCTGATTGGTCCAAGATTGCGCACGTTCAAGAGGATTATATTGAACATTAGAAGATCGTCAAGCCACGCTCAAGGTCTTTACCAATCTCTCTCTCTCCTTTTCTTCCTTTATGAGATTTTTTTTTCATATTAAATTTTCCAGAATACAGAATTATAAGAAAAGTGCTCTAAATGATATGTGCTACTCAATTCATATATCTTCCTCAAATATCTAACATTTGCATTTAATTTTGAAGTGATCATAGGTAAATAGGTTGGGTGCTTTGGTCAAAAATGAAAGAGCAAGCGAGACGATTTCATTCCATTTATTAAGCTTGTTATCAGCAACATTTCTTGAGAATCCTTCAATTTTTGCTACACTTTTTGACATACTATTACTCCTATAGGATCTTTTTTATTGAGATTTTTTACTAATTATCTTTTGTTTTTGGATGCATAAAGGCAAATAAAATTATAATCATCCATTTTAAAAGGTTATAATTAACGATAGCTTAGTGATGGAAATAGGCATAGCTTGTGGGCCTTCTATAAGAAGTATGGAATTACAATATCGTGTTGTGTTCCTCGTTTTAGTTACTATCAAACTTAGATCCTTAGGTGCATGCCTGCCTACCTAGGAACTCACTTTCAGTTGTATTTTAAGATCAACTCATTTGGCTTCAAATCAAACCTCTGCAGGCAGCTCTTATGGTGTGG